CGCCGCACAGGCTGAGATATTGCGGTATACAAGCGTACCAAATAAATAAATAAATAAATAAATAAATAAATATTGTTATTACTACGTTTACATTATTTTCTCTGTTATTACATTTATTATTTTATTCTATTTACAATTATTACATTTACATTACTTTATTATTATTACAGTTATTATTTTACTCTATTTATTGTTATTATTACATTTACATTATTTTACTCTATTGTTTTTATTACATTTATTATATTACTCTTTTATTGTTATTACTACATTTACATTAATTTCTCCATTATTATTACATTTATTATTTTATTCTATAATTATTACATTTACATTATTTTCTCCATTGTTATTACATTTATTTTATTCTATTTATCATTATTACACTTACATTACTTTTCTCTATTATTATTACAGTTATTATTTTACTCTATTATTATTACATTTACATCATTTCACTCTATTATTACTGTTATTATTTTAGTCTACTTTTAGTTATATGTATTATTTTACTCTCTTACAATTATTACATTTACATTATTTTACTCTATTATTACATTTATTATTTTATTCTAATATTATTGCATTTACATTACTTTTCTCTATTATTATTACAGTTATTATTTTACTCTATTACTATTATGACATTTACATTATTTTACTCTATTATTATTACATTTATCATTTTACTCTATTTTTTATTACATTTATTATTTTACTTTATTATTATTGGAAGGATACGTAAGCACATTTACATTGAATGCTGGTTTAATCAGAGTTGATCAGTCTTATCTTAAATTACAGTTTTAAGTAAATATATTCAGAAACATTTCACCCCTGATGCCTCAATAAATGTAATTTTATCGGTATCTGTTTTGATTTTGAAATTGACCCGTAGCGGCTGCATTTCCCACCCTAGGTTTATACTCGAGTCAATATGTTTTCCCAGTTTTTTTGTGGTAAAATTAGGTGCCTCGACTTATATTCAGGTCGGCTTATATTTGAGTATATACGTTAATCTTTTTTAGGAAACTTGGTGGATAGAATCGCTCTTTAGAATCAATAACAGCAAAAACCTGCACTGATTTTGGAAGTGAACAATTCCTTTAAACTATGTTCTCTTATTGTCGAAGGCTTTCATGGCTGGAATCACTAGGTTCTTGTGGGTTTTTTCGGGCTATAGAGCCATGTTCTAGAGGCGTTTCTCCTGACGTTTCGCCTGCATCTATGGCAAGCATCCTCAGAGGTGTAAGGTCTGTTGGAAGTAGGAAAAATGGGTTTATATATCTGTGGAATGGCTGGGGTGGGGCAAGGAGCTCTTCCCTGCTGCAGTTAGGTGTGAATGTTGATCACCTTCATTAGCATTTGAAGGCCTGCCTGAGTCTGGGAAAATCTGTTGCTGGGAGGTGTTAATCTGTGCCTGGTTTTTTCCTCTCTGTTGTTTAGCTGTTATAATTTTTGAGTTTTTTAATACTGGTAGCCAGATTTTGTTCATTTTCATGGTCTCTTCCTTTCTGTTGAAGTCAGCCATAGCAGAGCACCTGATGAACCAGCCTGGACACAGCATATTATTTGAGAACACAGAAATGCTGGACCACACCAACAACCACCATGTCAGACTACACAGAGAAGCCATTGAAATCCACAAGCATGTGGACAATTTCAACAAAAAGGAGGAAACCATGAAAATGAACAAAATCTGGCTACCAGTATTAAAAAACTCTAAAATTATAACAGCTAAACAACAGAGAGGAAAAAACCAGGCACAGATTAACACCTCCCAGCAACAGATTTTCCCAGGCTCAGGCAGGCCTTCAAATGCTAATGAAGGTGATCAGCTAAACATTCACACCTAACTGCAGCAGGGAAGAGCTCCTTGCCCCACCCCAGCCATTCCACAGATATGTTGTTCATTCGTTCAGTCGTCTCCGACTCTTCGTGACCTCATGGACCAGCCCACGCCAGAGCTCCCTGTCGGCCGTTACCACCCCCAGCTCCCTCAAGGTCAGTCCAGTCACTTCGAGGATGCCATCCATCCATCTTGCCCTTGGTCGGCCCCTCTTCCTTTTGCCTTCCACTTTCCCCAGCCATTCCACAGATATATAAACCCATTTTTCCTACTTCCAACAGACCTCACTACCTCTGAGGAAGCTTGCCATAGATGCAGGCGAAACGTCAGGAGAAATGCCTCTAGAACATGGCTCTATAGCCCGAAAAAACCCACAAGAACCTTATGTTCTCTTAATTTTGTGATGTATGAGATTCCATCTTTAGTTTCTGCGGAAAGTTCAGGGTGTGTGCCTTGGCTGACCCTTCAATTCCCTTTTCCTTCCAGGCTGCTAGACCCTCCAACCAATACTGAAATCGCCAACTACCCCATTTATAAGATCCTCTTCTGCGTGCGGGGCCACGACGGGACTCCGGAGAGCGACTGCTTTGCTTTCACCGAGAGCCATTACAACTCCGAACTCTTCCGGATCCACGTCTTTCGATGCGAGATCCAGGAAGCTGTAAGTCTGGCGCTTGGGCTTGGCAAGGCTCAGGGGTCACTCCTGTTGTGCCTTCGGGTTGTTCCAGGCTTGTTGTGGGTTTTGTTGTGGCAGGATTTGTTCAAAGGAGGCTTGCCTTTGCCTTGGAGATTTATTTACACAGACAGACCATAGCTCACTCGTGGAGCCTTAGTGGTTGGGGTCAAAGGAGAAGCTGCAATAGGTCCATATGACCATTCCCAAAGGCAACCGTAAGATAATGTTAGTCCTCAGATTATTGGGAATAGGTAGCTATCACCTCTCAGTTAAATTGTCCCACCAGATTGGAGTCTGGAGGGCCATCTGTCGGGAGGGCTTGGGTGGTGTCTGCTTGGCAGAAGGAGGTTGGACTTAAAAACCCTGAAAAGCTAAATGACAATACAGAAAAAAGGGAAGGAAGAGGGAGGGAGGGAAGGGGAGAAAGAAAGAAGGAAGGAAGGAAAGAAAGAAAGAAAGAAAGAAAGAAGGAAGCATGGAAGCAAAGAGCAAAGGAAGGAAACAGGTAGAGAAGGAAGAAAGGAGAGAAAGAGGAAAAGAGAAGGGAGAAGGAAGGAAGGAGAGAAGGAAAGAAAATAAGGGAAGGAAGAAAAGAAGGAGTGAAGGAAGGAGGGAAAGAAGGAGAGAAAGAAAGAGGGAGGGAAGGAAAGAAGGAAAGAGAGAAGCAAGGATGGAAGCAAAAAGTGAAGGAAGGAAGGAAGGAAGGAAGGAGGGAAAGAAGGAGAGAAAGAAAGAGGGAGAGAAAGAAAGAGAGAAGCAAGAATGGAAGCAAAAAGCGAAGGAAGGAAGGAAGAAAGGAGAGAAAGAGGGAGGGAAGGAATGAAGGAAAGAAGGATGGAAGCATAAAGCAAAGGACAGAAGGAAAGAAGTAGAGAAGGAAGAAAGGAGAGAAAGGAAGAAGGAAAAGAAAAAGTGGGAAGGAAGAAAGGCGGTAGAGAAGGAAGAAGAGAAGGAAAGAAGAAAAAAGGGAAGGAAGGAAAGAAGGGGAAAGGAGAGAAGGAAGAAAGAAGGAGAGAAAGGAGGGAGGAAGGAAAGAAAAAAGAGAGAAGGGGGGAGGAAAATGGAAGAGAGAGCAAAGGAAGGAAAGAGAGAAGAAAGGGAAGGAAGGAAGGAAGGAAGGAAGGAAGGAAGGAAGGAATGAGAAAGAAGGAAGGGAAGGAAGGAAGGAAGGAAGGAGGGAAGGAGAGGAAGGAAGAAAGAAGAAAGGAAGGAAAGGAAAGAAGGAAAGAAGGAATAAAATAAGCGAACATAAGTAAGGTGAGGAATAATACTATATTATCATTATAAAAATTGTATGTCATATTAATAGAGGAAAGAGGAAGGAAAAGGAGAGAAGGAAAGAAGAGAAAGAGGAGGAAGGAAGAGAGGAAGCTTGGATGCAGAAGGAAGGAAGGAAAGAGGTAGAGAAGGAAGAAAGGAGAGAAAGCAGAAGGAAAGAAAAGGGAGGAAGGAAAGAGGAGAGAAGGAGAGAGAGAAGGAAGCATGGAAGCAAAAGAAAAGGAAGGAAGAAAGAGGTAGAGAAGGAAGGAGAAGGAGGAAAAAAAAAAGGGAAAGGAAGGAAAGTTAGAGAAGGAAAGAAGGAGAGAAGGAAAGAAAAAAGGGAAAGAAGGAAGGAAAGTGGGAGCGAAGGAAGGAGGGAAGATGTAGAGAAAGAGAAGGGAAAGGAAAGAGAGAAGGAAGAAAAGAGAACAGCAGAAGAGAAAGAAAAAGAGAAGGAAGGAAAGAGGTAGAGAAGGAAAGAGAAAGGAGAAAGGGAAAGAAAAGGAAAGGTAGAGAAGGAAGGAAGAAGAGAAAGAAAGAAAAAGGGAAGGAAGGAAAGAGGGAGCAAAGGAAGGAGGGAAAGAAGGAGAGAAAAAGGGAGAGAAAGTAAGAGAAGAAAGGATGGAAGCAAAAAACGAAGAAAGGAAGGAAGTAGGGAAGGAAAAAATGAGAGAAAAAAGAGAAAGAAAAATGGGGAAGGCAGGAAAGGTAGAGAAGGAAGGAAGGAGAGAAGGAACGAAAAAAGGGAAGGAAAGAGGGAGTGAAGAAAGGAGGGAAAGGAGAGAAAGGAAGGGGTGGCGGGTACAGCTAGTTCTGTACTAAGATGGGAAGACGGACGGTTCCTTTTCTTAATGTGTCCCCAATGAGCAAGAACCGCGTGTGGGCTTTTCCTGTTGGTCCTGTTTGCCTTTCTGGCCCCCTCCCTCCCTCCCTCCTTGCTGTCAGCCAACCGTGCTCTTCCTCCCCTCCAGGTGAGTCGGATCCTGTACAGTTTTGCCACCGCCTTCCGCCGTTCTGCCAAACAAACCCCCCTCGTGGCCCCTGCGGCCCCCCAGACGCCCGACAGCGACATCTTCACTTTCTCTGTCTCCCTGGAAATCAAGGAAGACGACGGGAAGGGCTACTTCAGGTAGAGTTCCCCCCCTCTGTTCCTGGTGATGAAATGGTGCATTCGTCCAGTAGGTTCGGACCTTTTTCGGTCACGGAACCCTTTGGAATCCTTCTGCGCTGTGGTTTATCCTCTCTGTGGACATTCTGATGAGGAATCTTAGATATGGAAGGACTACAAATACGAGGTCAAACTTAAAAGACAAAGACGTTTGCAGACGATGGGATGGAAGCACCCTTTGCTGTCTGGTCTCATCATCGTAGGCCAAAGCAGCAGGGATCACTAGAAGGAGAAATATTTAAATGCTTTGTCTCTACTTAAAATAAATTAGAAGCCAATGTTAATAATAATCTATATAAATAAAAATGTCATGTTCGTTTGTGGGATTAACAGAACTCAAAAACCACTGGACGAATTGGCACCAAATTTGGACACAAGACACCTAACAACCCAATGAATGTCCTTCACTCATAAAACACTGAAAAACACAGCAGAAGGGACTTAAAAAGCCCCAAAAAGCTAAAAGATAGAAAGCTAAATGGCAATACGGAAAAAAGGAAGAAAGAGGGAGGGAAGGGGAGAAAAGAAAGAAAGAAAGAAAGAAAGAAAGGAAAGAAAGAGGGAGAGAAAGAAAGAAGGAAAGGGAGAAGGAAGCATGGAAGCAAAGAGAGAAGGAAGGAAAGAAGTAGAGAAGGAAGAAAGGAGAGAAAAAGGGGGGAAAGAAAAAGGGGGAAGGAAGGAAAGTTAGAAAGGAAGGAAGGAGAGAAGGAAAGAAAAAAGGGAAAGAAAGGGAAAGAGGGAGCGAAGGAAGGGGAGAACTCCACAGTGGCTGTTTATTTTATTTTAAAAAATACCTGCAAATTGTTTCCATTCAGTTAACCTCACTTTTAATGTGACCCTGGGCTGAAATATTAGAGTCCAGAGAGAAATATTATCAATTTGTCTCCAGCCACTAGTTATTTATTATTATTTATTTAGAGCTTTTATAACCCGGTCTTCTCGACCTCCGAAGAGGGACTCAGGCCGGCTAAACAGCAGAAAATTCAAGACAAATATAGTAAACATAATAGCATCATAAAACATTAATACAAAATACATTAACATACAAATCATACAATATCATACAATTACAAAAGCGAGGTCGTCAGGAAGGAAGGAAAGAGAGAGTGAAGGAAGGAGAGAAAGAGGGAAGGTTGGCCACAGCAACGCATGGCGGGTACAGCTAGTAATCTATATAAATAAAAATGTAATGCTTGTTTGTGGGATTAACAGAACTCAAAAACCACTGGACTAATTGACACCAAATTTGGACCCAAGACACCTAACAACCCAATGTATGTCCTTACTGACCTGTCTGTAATTCTCCCAGAACACTCATGAAACAAGAATCTTGAGACTTCAAGTACTAAGAACTTGGAAACATGAACAGAAGACCGATTCCCCGTTAGCAGCGTTGTCTCCTCTGAGATGCTTGGGCCAAAGCATTTAATTATGCCCTTGTGCGTTCCCATTAAATCGTGTCTAAGGCACTTGGATTTCAGGGCCTCAGGTGCTTGATTTTGAAAACCCCCATCCTCCGAATCCTCAGACTACAACAGAAGGGACATTCTACTTGTTCCTAAAGCAACCCTCATAGAGTTAGCTCCTTACTCTGTCCCGGGATATTTGGTTTTCCCCTTCGCTAGCTTGGCTCTCTCCTTCAGATGGCTTCTCAGGATGTGGGTTCTCTGACTCGTTTTCTCTCTTCTTTGAATCCCAGCGCTGTCCCCAAAGACAAAGACCGGCAGTGCTTCAAGCTGCGCCAAGGCGTCGACAAGAAGATTGTCATCTACGTCCAGCAGACCACGAATAAAGAACTGGCCATCGAAAGGTAGCGTGGCCTCTGCGTTGGCTTCCCTTCCCTCTTGTAGTTTGTTCCAGCTCTCCCTCTTCACTTCTTCCCACCAAAACCCAATCATAGCTTTATAACATGCTGAAAAGAGACTGAAGGGAATCTTAGCGCCTTTTCTAGGTCCAGTCTCTGACGTTCTTTTTGTTGCAAGAGCTGAGAAACCATAGCGTAGTCATGTTTCTTTATCGGTTGACATCCAAGGGAGGAATGTCCTTGAGGGAACTGACTTTTTGGGTGTCCTTTCAGGTGTTTCGGCCTCCTCCTCAGCCCTGGGAAGGACGTGCAGAGCGGCGACATGCATTTGCTGGATCTGGTATGGGCGCTTTGATTAAGCATTCTTTTATTTATTTATTTCAGATATTTGTATATTTCAGATATTTGTACCTTCTCAACCCACGGGGTGGGGTGGGGGGACGGGATTCAGGGCGGCCGGCAACAATTCGATGCCTCCAATGTACATATAATAAAATAATAAAATACATAATAAAATCCAATAATCACATACATTTAAAACATTAAATCACCTTAATTAATTAAAATCTATTTCTGTTTCAATAACAGCCTGGTGGCCTTATCTGAGCCAAATTCTATAGTTATTTATTATTATTTGTTTTTTATTTATTTATTTACAGTATTTGTATACCGCTTTTCTCACCCCGAGGGGGACTCAAAGCGGTTTACACATAAGTAATGGCAAAATTAAATGCCAGTACAAACAATTACAAATATACACTACAATTAAGCATAAATCAAGTTACAACAATACATCCATAAGCAATAAAGCAATCATTAAAACATCGAATTGCCGTTCCAGTCATTGTCTTTCCGAAATGCTGCATACATTTACTTCTACTGCCTGAAGTCCTCGTCCCAAAACCATGATTTTAATTTTTTTCTAAAAGTCAGGACTCTATCAAGTATGTCCATAGTGCATTTCCATAGCTATTGTCATAATAATAATAATAATAATAATAATAACAACACTTTATTTGTATCCCGCTACCATCTCCCCAGGGGATTCGGTGCGGCTTACATGAGCCCAAATACAATAATACAAGCAATAACAACAGTACAAGCAAATTAAAATAAAACATAGACAATAAAATATACAACATTATCAATAAGACAACACACAATTAAAACAGTGGGAAGGCCAAATGTAAAATTAAAATTGGAAGTAATGCTGGGACATGAATGAAAAGGTGAGAGTGGTGTTTGTGGAAGGGCATACGAGCAGACCTAAAAAATGTAAAGTGCTTTCGAGGACAAAGTGCTAAGGAATCAATTTTCCGGGAAGGCACACTGGAACAACCACGTCTTCGAGCTCTTCCTAAAGACTGCCAAAGTTGTCACTGTCATTGTCAGCAACATTACCCAAAGGTCTGGTCCCACATCCACGTTTTTAACTTCTTTCTAAAGGAAAGGAGGGACGTTGATAATCTAATTTCACCGGGGAGTGAATTCAACAGGTGGAGGGCCACCACCAAGAAGGCCCTGTCCCTCGCACTGCCAAGCGCGTTTGCGACAGAGGCGGGACCGAGAGCAGGGCCTTCCCCAGAAGATCTTAAACTCCGAGGTGGGATGGAGAAGGAGATATGTTTATTTGCAAGCATATCAATGCAACAGATATTAAACAATGCCGAAAGAGTATGTATCTATCTTATCTATTACATCTATATGAGAGTCAAAGTAGGTATCTCCAGAGGTGGAGTGTTAGGTGGAGTGGCTCTCTGTGATGTCACAGGGAAAGAAAAATGACATGTGTAGGAAGGGGAGAGAGGAAAGAAAGAGCCATGTTGCCATGGAGACCTTTCAAAATGACGGAGAAGGGAGAAAGTAGGCTGGCAGTAGTCACAACATCTAGGCAATGCTGGTATATACGCTAGTACATCAACAAAACTTGATCTACACATAGTATATGTAATATAGCTGGCCCTTTGCCTTGTGGGTTGGACTTCTAGGGATTAGATCCTTCATTGATTATGTTAATAGGGTCCCTCTAAGAGTCCCTAGGTCCTCCAGCATAACTCTGTGGTCAATTTATTTATTTATTTACGGTATTTATGTTCTGCCCTTCTCACCCCGCAGGGGACTCGGGGCAGATTACAATGTACATATACATGGCAAACATTTTTTTTTGGTATTTTTGTTTGGTTTTATTATGTTTTTGTGTTATATTGTTGTATTGTATTGATGGGCATGGCCTCAGGTTAGCTGCACCGAGTCCCCTTGGGGGTGATGGAGCGGGGTATAAATAAAGTTTTATTATTTATTATTATAGACACACAACATATATAGACAGACACAGAGGCAATTTAACATTCCAGCTTTTTCATGAGGGTATTCTGGCCACCAGGGGAGCTGTCGCTTCACCGTCCATTTCTGACACTGATGAAGTACTTCCCCATTCTTTGCATGCTTGCTGGAGATTTTTATGGCCTCGTAAATTAGTTAAATTAGCCTCCTCACATAAGCGGTACTTAATTTTCCTACTTGACAGATGCAACTGTCTTTCGGGCTGCAAAGGTCGACAGCAAGCTACACAAATTGGTCAGAAGCTCACTCCCACCCGGGCTGGCTTCGAACTCATGACCTTTCAGTCAGTAGTGATCTTAATGCAGCTGACTCCCAGCCCGCTGCGCCACAGTCCCACCTGGCAGATCTTGTCTACAGAGTTGTACTGGAGGGTCAACCCCCCCTAAACAACTTGGGACCACGTTACTAGAAAGGCTGCCTTCCCTTTCATAGACCCAACTGGTCTTCGATGGGTCCCCTATGTTATGGCGCCTCAGTTTCCCAGGTGGCTGTGCTCTCACTTTCCTCACGGCTCCGTTTGTGACCTTTTAGGAGTCCATGGGCAAAAGCTCGGACGGGAAGTCCTACGTCATCACCGGGAGCTGGAACACAAAGTCTCCGCACTTCCAGATCGTGAATGAAGAGACGCCAAAAGGTTTGTGATCATGCACTGGCCTAGATTGGCTTGACTGTTGCTCAGCTACAGGGGATTCTGGGGGATGTAGTCAAAAAAGTAGTTTTTCCAAGGCCTGGAAAAACCTTGGCTAATCCAGGCCGTAGTGTTGCTTGATTGGAGAAGTGGGGGCAGAAGCAAAACCACATTCTGGTTTACATGCAACGCTCCTCAGGTCCAGTTCTAATTCTCTAAGACCGTCTTTGGAGGTCTGTAAACAGAGGTTGGGTGGCCATTTTTGGGAGGGAGCTGGATTATGCAACTTTAGGCCTATGATGCGCTCCTTTGGGCGAGAAGGCCGCTCTGATTGTAGGGAACGGAGGCATCTTCTCACCGCCTTGCTCTTTTGTTTCCCATCCCCAGATAAAGTCCTGTTCCTGACCACCGCTGTGGATCTGGTGGTCACTGAAGTCCAGGAACCCGTCCGGTTCCTCCTGGAGACCAAAGTCCGTGTCTGTCCTCCGAACGAGAGGCTCTTCTGGCCTTTCAGTAAACGGAGCTCCACCGAGAACTTCTTTCTGAAGCTGAAACAGGTGAGAGCACTTGCCAGGTTGACTTGGGCCTGTCTTCTCTCTCTTGCCCTTCGTTTACATGCTTCCGACATTCATCTGGAGTAGAAAAGGAGACTGAATTTGCAGGCATCATCTAGTTCTAAGCCTTGAACTGTTCTGCAACCCTTGTATGTGTGATCTTTCCCATCTGTTGCCAGATCCTCAAATGTCTAGTCCTAATCAGTGTAGACCAGCCACCTCAAATTGGGTGCTCACCCAGTTGGATTCTAACTGCAAGGCTTTTCAGTGCTAAGCAAGCTGGGCAATTACCACATTCACACTTACCTCCAACAGACCAGAGTTTTTTCTCCCACCCTGGGCATTATTCCACAGCTTTATAACCCCACTTGCCTAGTTTCCAACAGATCTCAGAACCTCTGAGGATGCCTGCCATAGATGTGGGCGAAACGTCAGGAGAGCATGCTTCTGGTACATGGCCATGTCGGAGTAGCATTAGTAGCCTGCAGAAAGTCTCAGCCCCTTTTACTCTCAGTGTGATAAAAATTCACTTGAGTCAGTTGCTTTAAGTAGAAAAAAATATATAGTTCTATTCACTGTAGGTCAAAAACACAAATGGATCAGATTATTTGTGAGGAATTATTTGTGAGGGAAAAGCAGAAGAATTATTCTCACCAATATACAACAAACAATATCTTCGGTGAGTCATCTTCTTTACATGACGACATGCAAACATATAGCAAAATATTACAGATAAATAATACTTAATTATCAGTAGAATGTGCTTGCCATAAACAAGCAGTTTCCTTGGCATTCCAAACGGATTCAGCTTCAGGATGCTGCGTAACCGCTCCCAGCAATAGCCAAAGGTTTCTTCAGCTCCAACGGGCCATCAAGCTAAGCCAAATGCAAAGCTCAAAGCTTGCAAACCTAGTGCCTTGGTTTATGCTGAAGCAAATAACACATCCAATTAACTTGTGGCAGCTGTAATACATATGAGTCAGTGGTATTAGTAGACACAAAAATATAGTTCTATTCACTGTAGGTCAAAAACAGAAAGCAAAAGAATTGTTCTCACCAATATACAGCATACAATATCTCCAGTGAGTTGTTTTCTTTATGTAACATTATGAAAACATATAGGAAAACAATACAGTCTCTCTGCTTAGTTATCCATAGAATGTCCTTATCTTGTTATAAACAAGTCTCTTGAGGGCTGAGAAGGGTGGTATACAAATATAGTAAATTAATAATAAATAGTAAGTAAACAAACAAGCAGTTTCCTTGGTATTCCAAACGGCTGCAGTCTTCAGCTTCAGGATGCTGCATAACCGCTCCCAGCAACAGCAAAAGGTTTCTTCAGCTCTAACGAGCCATCCAGCTAAGCCAAATGCAAAGCTCAAAGCTTGCAAACCTAGTGCCTTGGTTTATGCTGAAGCAGATAACACGCCCAATTAACTTGTGGCAGCTGTAATACATATGAGTCAGTTGTATGAGTAGAAACAAAAATATAGTTCTATTCAGTGTAGGTCAAATACACAAAGCAAAAGCAGAAGAATTGTTCCACCAATATACAACAAACAATATCTCCAGTGAGTTGTTTTCTTTACATGATGCTATGCAAACGTATAGCAAAATAATACAGTCTCTCTATTTAGTTATCAGTAGAATGTCCTTATCTTGTCATAAACAAGTCACCTGAGGGCTGAGAAAGGCTGCATACAAATATAGTAAATAAATAATAAATCTATATAAATAAAAATGTAACGTTCGTTTGTGGGATTAACAGAACTCAAAAACCGCTGTTGGACAAATTTGGACACAAGACACCTAACAACCCAATGTATGTCCTTCACTCAAAAATAATTGATTTTGTCATTTGGGAGTTGTAGTTGCCGGGATTTATAGTTAACCTACAATTAAAGAGCATTCTGAACCCCACCAATGATGGAATTGAACCAAACTTGGCACACAGTTCTCCCATGACCAACAGAAAATACTGGAAGGGTTTGGTGGGCAATGCCCTTTGGTTTTGGAGTTGTATGATTTTGTCATACAAAAAGTATGATTTTGTCATTTGGGAGTCGTAATTGCTGGGATTTATAGTTCACCTATAATAATCAAACAGCATTCTGAACTCCACCAACGATGCAATTGAACCAAACTTGGCACACAGGACTCCCCTGACCAACAGAAAACACTAGAAGGGTTTGGTGGGCATTGACCTTGAGTTTGGGCGTTGTAGTTCACCTACATCCAGAGATCATTGTGGACTCAAACAATGATGGATCTGGACCAGATTCTACACAAGTACTCAGTATGCCTGAATGTGAACACTGGTGGAGTTTGGGGAAAATAGAATCTTGACATTTGGGAGTTGTAGTTGCTGAGATTTATAGTTCACCTACAATCACAGAGCATTCTGAACCCCACCAATGATAGAATTGGGCCAAACCTCCCACACAGAACTCCCATGTGGGCCACAGCAATGTGTGGCAGGGGACGGCTAGTAGTAAATAAATAAATAAATAAATAAACAAGCAGTTTCCTTGGCACTCCAAACGGATGCAGTCTTCAGCTTCAGGATGCTGCGTAACCACTCCCAGCAATAGTCAAAGGTTTCTTCAGCTCCAATGAGCCATCAAGCTAAGCCAAATGCAAAGCTCAGAGCTTGCAAACCTAGTGCCTTGTTATATGCTGAAGCAGATAAGACACCTAATTAACTTGTGGCAGCTGTAACAGAAAAGGTTCTGATCCTCCCTGTTACTTAGAAAAAGCCTGTTGTAAACCCTTAATAATAATAATAATAATAATAATAATAATAATAATAATAATAATAATAATAATAATAATTATTATTTATTAGCTTCTCCCTCACAAATAATCTGATCCATTGCTGTCTCACCCTGTGTTTTTAGTATTAGTATTTTATTCTGTACATGCGGCCCGCCTACTGTTCTGTGCCATGAATGATTTTATTATAATTTTATAGTGGTTGTTGTACTCTTGTGGTTTATGTTTTATGTAATTTATTATGTTGTTGTTTGTGTTGATTCCATTTATTGGATTGCATTGTTGGCCTTGGCCTCATGTAAGCCACTCCGACTCCCCGTTGGGGAGATGGTGGCAGGGTACAAATAAAGATTATTATTATTATTATTATTATTATTATTATTATCATCATCATCATACCTCGCCACCATCTCCCCAAAGGGGACTCGGGGTGGCTTACATGAGGCCAAGCCCAGTTGTACAATTACAGTAACATAACACAAAAGCATAAAACAAGGGTTGCAATAAAGTAAAAATGCAAAATAATACAGTGGGGGGAAAAAGGGTTGTTGTTATGGCTTTTTTGAACGACAATTCCCACACCTCGCCTGGCAGCTAGTTGGGAACAATCTGGGCACCGTCATCCCCAAAAAGGAACTTTCCTAAACTCACTTGTGGTGTTAATATGCGGAGTGATAATTCTGCAAAGAAACACAGAGAGAGAGCGTCGCACAATGGATTCTGTTCGCTATAAATATGTCGTTTGTTGGTACAAGGAAGTTTATCTTACGGAGCTCATTCCGGTGCCTTTTGTCCTGCCAGACGGGACCTCATTATGTCTTTAAGAGAGAGAGAGAGAAAGGAGAAAGAGCCTGCTTGGTCCCAGCTGGGCTTTTCCAAAACTGCTTGGCTTGGTTTTTTTTCTTCCCTTTTTGAAACTGTGTTTGGCCCGATAAGGCTCTCAAAGGGAAGCAGGGTTCCGCAGGAGGCGCACAACGGCCCAAACTCCCCATAATAACACTAGAAACATCCGCGGTTGGGATAGGCTTATCTTGATTTGGAAATGCTTTTGCGGTGGCAAGTGGAGAACCTGCATTCTGTGATATGAAATAACCCTTGAGAGTATCGTCGAAGGCTTTCATGGCCGGAATCACTGGGTTGTTGTAGGTTTTTTCGGGCTATATGGCCATGTTCTGGAGGCATTCTCTCCTGATGTTTCGCCTGCATCTATGGCAAGCATCCTCAGAGGTCGTGAGGTCTGTTGGAATTAGGAAAAAGGGTTTATATATCTGTGGAAAGACCAGGGTGGGACAAAGGACTCTTGTCTGCTGGAGCTAGGTGGGAATGTCTCAACTGACCACCTTGATTAGCATTTGATTGCCTGGCAGTGCCTGGAGCAATCTTTTGTTGAGAAGTGATTAGATGTCCCTGATTGTTTTCCCTCTGCTGTTTTTGCTGTTTTAATTTTAGAGTTTTTTTTATACTGGTAGCCGGATTGTGTTCATTTTCATGGTTTCCTCCTTTCTGTTGCAATTGTCCACCTGCTTCTTGTGCATTTCAATGGCTTCTCTGTGTAGCCTGACATGGTGGTTGTGAGAGTGGTCCAGCATTTCTGTCTTCTCAAATAATATGCTGTTTCCAGGTTGGTTCGTCAGGTGCTCTGCTATGGCTGACATCCGTAGGGATACCAAGGGGCTTGTTCATAAAGCTATTCCCCTCCCAACTCTGCTATACGCCTGCGAAACGTGGACTGTCTACAGATGTCACATGCAACTCCTGGAACGATTCCATCAGCGCCTCCTCCGGAAAATCCTGCAAATCTCTTGGGAGGACAGGCGGACAAACGTCAGCGTGCTGGAAGAAGCAAAGACCACCAGCATTGAAGCGATGGTCCTCTGCCATCAACTCTGCTGGACCGGCCACGTTGTCCGGATGCCTGACCACCGTCTCCCAAAGCAGTTGCTCTACTCCGAACTCAAGAACGGAAAACGGAATGTTGGTAGACAGGAAAAGAGATTGAAAGACGAGCTCAAAGCCAACCTTAAATCCTCTGGCATAGACACTGAGAACTGGGAAGCCCTGGCCCTTGAGCGCTCCAGCTGGAGGTCAGCTGTGACCAGCAGTGCTGCAGAATTCGAGGAGGCACGAGTGGAGGGTGAAAGAGAGAAACGTGCCGGGAGGAAGTCGCGTAAAGCCAACCCCGACCGGGACCGCCTTCCACCTGGAAACCAATGTCTTCACTGTGGGAGAAGATGCGGGTCAAGAAGAGGGCTCCACAGCCACCTACAAACCCACAAAAATAGTCATCAAGGAAGACCATCTTACTCGTCCAACGAGGGATCACCTAAGTATGGCTGACTTCTCTGGTTGAGTTAGTCTGCAGTGCCTTTCATGTTCCTTGATTCGTGGTTGGGCTATGCGGCATTTGGTGGTCCCTCTGTAGACTTGTCCACAGCTGCATGATACATGGACTCCTGCAGAGGTGAGAGGATCCCTCTTGTCCTTTGCTGAACGGAGCATTGGTTGGATTTTCTTGGTGGGTCTATAGATAGATGGATGACTAGATGTCCTAGTCATCCATAAACCAGATCAACAATTGGGTCACACCGTTGACAAAAAACCCACACACACAGATAGATATCTACATAAAAACTCCAACCATCACCCAAGTCAAAAAAGAAGGCCCATTAAAGCCTTGGCAGACCATGCAAGAAGAATCTGTGAAGCGCACCTCCTCCAAGATGAACAGAACCCCCTCAACTGGGCTCTCCAGGCCAAGGGAGACTCCACGTCAGACATCAGAAGAGCTGCAAGACCACCGAGAAGAAGCCACGAGAGTCAAGACCAAGATCCACCCAGAGGAAAAGTGTCCTTGCCATACATCAAGGGGACCACTGACCGCAGAGGGAAGCTGATGAGGAAACACAACATACAAACAATCTACAGACCCACCAAGAAAATCCAACCAATGCTCCGTTCAGCAAAGGACAAGAGGGACCCTCTCACCTCTGCAGGAGTCTACCATTGTATCCCATGCAGCTGTGGACAAGAAGTCTCCAGAGGGACCACCAAAGGCAGCAGCGTGGCCCAACCACGAATCAAGGAACATGAAAGGCACTGCAGACTACGTCAACCAGAGAAGTCAGCCAGAGCAGAGCACCTGAGGAACCAACCTGGACATAGCATATTATCTGAGAACAGAGAAATGCTAGACCACTCTCACAACCACTATGTCAGGCTACACAGAGAAGCCATTGACATCCACAAGCATTTGGACAATTTCAACAGAAAGGAAGAAACCATGAAAATGAACAAAATCTGGCCACCAGTATTAAAAAACTCTAAAATTACAATAGCAAAACAGCAGAGGGAAAATAATCAGGGGCATCTAATCACCCCTCAACAAAGGATTGCTCCAGGCACTTCCAGGCTATCAAATACTAATCAAGGTGGTCAGTTGAAACATTCCCACCTAGCTCCAGCAGACAAGAGTCCTTTGTCCCACCCTGGCCATTCCACAGATATATAAACCCTTTTTCCTAGTTCCAACAGACCTCACAACCTCGGAGGATGCTTGCCATTGATGCAGGCGAAATGTCAGGAGAGAATGCCTCTAGACCATGGCCATATAGCCCAAAAAATCTACAACAACCCAACCCTTGAGGGTGTCTGGGGATGTTAAGAGGTGTAAACATTAATTAGAAAAGGCCTGAAACCTTTGTAGCTTTGCATAGCCTCTGGGTCTGCAAACCCTGCCTTCATTTTGCATACTGAAAAATGCTCTTTCTTCTGCCATAGAAGAGTGACCTTCATAAAAGGAGGTCAAATTTTAGTCTGGTTGTGGAGGCAAGAATTGTCCTGGGCCAGACCTCACCTGCAATCTTATTTATTTATTTGATTTATGTATTTATAGTATTTCTATTCCTCCCTTCTCACCCCTCAGGGGACTCAGGGCGGATTACAATGTACATATACATGGCAAACATGCAATGCCATAGACACACAACATATATAGACATTCACACAGAGGCTATTTAACATTCCAGCTTTTTCATGGGGGTATTCTGGCCACCAGCGGAGCTGTCGCTTCACCGTCCATTTGTGACACTGATGAAGTACTTCCTCATTCTTTGCATGCTTGCTGGAGATTTTTATGGCCTCGTAAATTAGCCTCCCCACATAAGTGGTATCTAAATTTCCTATTTGACAGATGCAACTGTCTTTCGGGCTGCAAAGGTCGACAGCAGGCTACACAAATTGGTTGGAAGCTCATTCTGACCCGGGCTGGCTTCAAATTCATGACCTTTTGGTCAGTAGTGATCTTAATGCAGTTGACTCCCAGCCAGCTGCGCTACAGTCCCGGTACCTGTGTCTGTAATAATAGTAATCTATACCCATAATAAAAGTGAAAATATGTATGTGTGTGTGTGGTTGGGGTGTCCGCTTACACAGACAGGCTCCCACTTCCACAAATAGCTTTTTCTGCCCTCACAACTATAGCTCCCACTACTCAGGAAACTAATCAGTTTAATTACTGTTCCCACATTACATTTAATGTAGAATTTCCTGTAATATAGATATTGTGAATTGCAATTTACAGTTTTCTGTGTTTGTTGCTATAGATATCTGTGCAAGTTACATTTTTTAGGAGTTGTATTTCACCTACATCCAGAGCGCACTATGAACCCAAACAATGATGGATCTGGGCCAAACTTAGCATGCATATCCGAATAATTCAACTCTGCTTGTTGTCCAAAATATCTTGTTGTTGACATATATTGGACAACACACACAATTGGGCTTGGTGCCTGCGGAACCCCTGACGTGGGCTTAAGTCTTAGCTGTTTACCTCTCAAGCTGAAAATATGGCTGCCCCTCCTGTGCAGAGGACATTGGGACTTCTCTTTTGGGAGCCTTCCCTCCGACGGCAGGCGCTTAACAGGCACGCTCTCCCCTTTCAGATCAAGCAGAAGGACCGCAAGAGCGGCACGGACACGCTCTACGAAGTCGTGTGCCTGGAGAGCGAGTCGGAAAGGGAGCGGCGGAAAACCACGGCCAGCCCGGCCATCCGCTTGCCCCAGTCGGGGTCCCAAGGCTCCATGATCCCTTCTCCGCCGGAGGATGACGAAGAGGAAGGTAAGGAGATGGGAACAGGTGGGAAGCCTTTGCCTCTGTTTACGTACTGTCTGCCTGTGTTAATTGTACAACGGCATTGAATGTTTGCCGTATATGTGTTCCGCCCTGAGTCCCCTCGGGGAGATAAAGTGGAATATAAACAAGGTGTCATTGGGAGACACCTGTTCAACCCCACAACCATTGTCTTGTGGAGTTCCTCAGGGCTCAATATTGTCTCCCATGTTGTTTAACATCTACATGAAGCCGCTGGGAGAGATCATCCGGAGTTTCGGGGTACGGTGTCATCTGTACGCGGATGATGTCCAGCTCTGTCACTCCTTCCCACCTGCTACTAAGGAGGCTGTTCAGGTCCTGAACCGGTGTTTGGCTGCTGTGACAGTCTGGATGAGGGCGAACAAACTGAAATTGAATCCAGACAAGACAGAGGTACTCCTGGTCAGTCGCAAGGCCAAACAGGGCATAGGGTTACAGCCTGTGTTGGACGGGGCCGCACTCCCCCTGAAGACGCAGGTTCGCAGCTTGGGTGTGATCCTGGACTCGTCGCTGAGCCTGGGACCCCAGGTTTCAGCGGTGACCAGGGGAGCATTTGCACAATTAAAACTTGTGCGCCAGCTGCGCCCGTACCTTGGGAAGTCTGACTTGGCCACGGTAGTCCACTCTCTAGTCACATCCCGTATAGACTACTGCACCACTCTCTACGTGGGGTTGCCTTTGAAGACTGCTCGGAAGCTTCAAATGGTCCAACGATCAGCAGCCAGGATGCTAACAGGAGCGGCACTCAGGGAGCATACTACTCCTCTGCTGCGCCAGCTCCACTGGCTGCCAATTTGCTACCGGGCACAATTCAAAGTGCTGGCTTTAGCCTTTAAAGCCCTAAACGGTTCTGGCCCGACCTACCTGTCCGAACGCGTCTCCTCCTGTGAACCAGTTAGGACATTAAGATCATCTGGGGAGGCCCTGTTCTCGATCCCGCCGGCTTCACAAGCACGCCTGGCGGGGACGAGAGACAGGGCCTTCTCAGTGGTGGCCCCTCGGCTGTGGAACGCCCTTCCTGCAGACATCAGATCGGCCCCCTCCTTACTGGCATTCCGGAGAAAAGTGAAGACCTGGCTGTTTGAACAGGCATTTGACTAAGCAGTGCAATTGATTGATCAGCATGGAATAATTGATAACGAGACTGGATTCTGATTCTAGTGATGAGATCTGATGGATTTGCTATACTGATGTATTGATATATTGTTGTATTGATGTTTACTGTTTAATTAACTTGTTGTGTGATTGCTTTTAAATACCCAATAACCTTGTACTTTGTGTGCTGAAACTGTTGCTGTTAACCACTCTGAGTCGCCTAAGGGCTGAGAAGAGCGGTATACAAATAAAGTAAATAAATAAATAAATAAATACATAAATATTATTATTATTACTAAGGAGGGTCTTCACGGGAGGACTTTCTCTAGCTACCCTTTACAGCCAGGCCAGAACAATTGGTCAAGCTGAAGAATGGGCTGGGGTCTAAATCCAGTTATCTCAGGGCTCTTCCATCCAGCATGGCCTGTGATCAGGGATTTGGGGAATTGTAATGTGAAGCAACGGAAAGACCATAGTTTCAGAATGCCCCGAGTCCCCTTGGGGAGATGTTTGGTGGGTATAAAAATAAAGTTATTATTATTAATCATAGAATCCTAGAGTTGGAAGAGGTCTCACGGGCCATCCAGTTCAGCCCCATTCTGCCAAGAAGCAGGAAAATTGCATTCAAAGCACCCCCGACAGATGGCCATCCAACCACTGTTTAAAAGCTTCCAAAGAAGGAGCCTCCACCACACTCCAGAGCAGAGAGTTCCACTGCTGAACAACTTTCACATTCAGGAAGTTCTTCCTCATGTTCAGATGGAATCTCCCTTCCTGTTGTCTGATGCCTTTCTTCCACATCCTAATTATTATATTATTACTATATATTATTATTTTGTGTCTGTTACAGACAATGACGAACCGCTCCTGAGTGGCTCCGGGGATGTCTCTAAGGAGTGTGCCGAAAAAATCCTGGAGACCTGGGGAGATCTTTTGTCCAAGTGGTAAGCAATTTCTCTTCTCCGTTCTCTCTCTCTCTCTCTCTCTCTCTCTCCCCCCCACCCCCCCAAATCTTCTCTCTTTCTGCCCACCTTTCTCTTTGTCTGTTTGTCTTTCTAGTATCCCACTTTGGACCAAGGCACCTTACAAACAGAGCTTTCCAAACATTTCATGTTGGTGGCAGTACCTATTGATCCATTATTTCTATTATATTATTATTATATTATTCCTATTTATAATTCGAAGGTAGAGAGGAAGGATGGTAACACCTGGGTTATTGGATTATTTATTATTATTTTAATAATCCTATGATATTATTATTTTTTATTATTACTATAATTTACATTGTTTTCAAACTGATAGCTTGGCAGGAGCTAGGGCTGGCAGATGGGAACTCACCCCATCTCACGGTTTCAAACTCCCAACCTTTAGGTCAGCAGTTCAGCAGCACAAAGGTTTAACCGACATCTGGCGACTCAACTGACTTCTGATTCCAACGCGTTCTAAAATGGAATATCACTCTGAAAATTCTAAGATCAGGGTCACGTGGCCTGTAGTCCCTCCCACAACCTCTAACAACATAAAGTTAAGGGAAAATACACACCAATACATACATACAAGATAGTCAGCAATCTCAATTGAATGCATAACAAAGGCTAGTAGGAGGTTGCTGTTTCCAGCAGTCTTAGGGCTCCACCGGTGTCCTCTCTTGCAGGCACTTGAACCTGAGCGTCCGGCCCAAGACGCTGTCGGCGCTGGTGCGGAGCGGGGTGCCCGAAGCCCTGCGGGGAGAGGTCTGGCAGCTGCTTGCCGGGTGTCACAACAACGACCACCTGGTGGAGAAGTACCGGATCCTCATCACCAAGGTAGGCCCACAAGCGAGGGTCTGGGGCGGTTGCAAAACGTTGCTGAGTCTCACTATGTTCTTTGCGGGAGGACCAGGGCTCTGCAGTTGCCCCACAGGAGTTCTAGGGAGAGCATACTCTTTGAAGAGCGGGACATTTTGTTTTTGTCAGCAGGGAAGTAAAAGGTAACTGCAGTAAGGTATACCATGGTGCAACACTGTCTTAAGCACAGATTGGCACAAGCACTCTCTGTAGGCATGGGCCAACTTTGGCCTTTCCTCCTGGTGCTTTGGACTTCAGCTCCTACAACGTGGGTATGCAGATGACCCCTTGATGGACTGGAGTGTCCAGTTCCAAGAGGACCAAGGCATGGGCCAACTTGGGCCCTCCCTCCAGGTGTTTTGGACTCCAACTCCCATAACGTAGCTATGCAGATGATTCCCTGATTGACCCACGTGTCCAGTTCCAAGAGGACCAAGGCATGGGCCAACTTGGAGCCCTCCCTCCAGGTGTTTTGGACTTCCAACTCCCACAATGTGGGTATGCAGATGACCCCTTGATTGACTGAAATGTCTAGGTCCAAAAGGACAAAGGCATGGGCTAACCTGGGCTGTCCCTCCAGGTGCTTTGGACTCCAGTTCCCACAACATGGGTATGCAGATGATCCCTTGATGGACTGAAGTGTCCAGTTCCAAGAGGACAAAGGCATGGGCCAACTTGGGCCCTCCCTCCAGGTGTTTTGGACTCCAACTCCCACAACATGGCTATGCAGATGATCCCTTGATTGACTGACATGTCCAGCCCATGTTTGCCCATGCCTGCTCTAGGGTAACCTCTGGTGGGAAGTGTTCATTTCAGCATCTTGTATACCCTTATTCCCACCAGACCCCCCAAATTGTTGAATCTTTCAGTGCCTTCCAAGGCAGCAGAGTTGCCCTATGTCTCCTTTATTTGGGCAAGCAGTTTCCTATTCATTCTCATTGTACGAGGAGCAGCTACTTTTTACCTTGAAGGAAGGAAACGCCTTCTGAAGGAAGTCTGGTCCTGGGGGGGGGGGGTAGGGGGGGATGGAGGGGCAACATGGTTTGTTTCCATGGTAACAGAGCGCCTGACAAAGGGATGCTCATTATGCTCGTGTGGATCAATAAAAGAAGCCTTTACTTGAATCCATCATCAACCATCGGCTCTGTTCCACCAAAAGTGGCACAGCAGCACGCAACCCAATCATCTGTTTTGCCAGATTTTGCTGATGGCTAAGCTTCCCGGAGTGGACATCACGTGCCACTATGGACCTAGAATCTGCTGAATTAAATATTGACGTCCTTTAGCTTTGTGACAAAGTGCCTTGAACCAAAGCGTTTGTGCTCAGCATTTCTTCTCATGAAACAGAACCTGGCCAGATATAGAAGAGGGTGCATTAAACTCCTCTCTCCAGTGTACCAAGGAGGGGGAGAGTGGGCTCTTGGGCTGTTTCCAAGCCCTTCTCTGGACACCTGCCTTCATGTCCATGAATCGTGTTACCCAGAACTGGACACAATATTATTCCAGGTGTGGGCTGACCAAAGCATGGAGTGAGACTTTGACTTCTCCTGATTTCGACACCATTCTATGGATGCAGCTTAGAATGGCATTGGCCTTTATAGCATCCGCATCACACCATTGGCTCAAGTTCAGATTGTGGTCTGTCAGGATTCCTAGATCCCTTTCACATGGACAGAATAGAAGGTGATGAGGTTGTTGTTGTTGTTGATGATGATGATATTCTTTATTTATATTCTGTTCTATTTCCCCGAGGGGACTCAGAGGAGATAGAGCAGAGTATAAATAAAGACTGTTTTCAAGCCAAATACGTATATCTGCATATATTTTTTCCCCTGTGTAAGTGTAGCATAATAATAAGCATCATCATCATGTAACTATGGATTGTCGATGTCGCAATCCCAGGCGACAGCAGGATTGAAGAGAAATAACTGGAAAAGATGACACGATATGAGGATTTAAAGATTGAACTGGAAATACTCTGGCACAAGCCAGTCAAGGGGATCCCAGTGGTGATCGGCACACTGGGTGCAGTGCCTCAAGACCTTGGCCTGCACACCATCTGTCAGCTGCAGAAGGCCACCTTACTGGGATCTGCATGCATTATTTGCCCATACATCACACAGTCCTAGGCACTTGGGAAATGTCCGACGTGTGATCCAATGCAACAGCCAGCAGAGTGTCTGCTGTGGACTCACCTTGTGGTGTTTCCAATAATAATAATAATAATAGCAGAGTGTCTTTTGTGGACTCACCTTGTTGTGTTTCTAATAATAATAATAATAATAATAATAATAATAATAATAATAATAATAATAATACATCACACAGTCCTAGACACTTGGGAAGTGTCTGACGTGTGATCCAATGCAACAGCCAGCAGAGTGTCTTTTGTGGACTCACCTTGTTGTGTTTCTAATAATAATAATAATAATAATAATAATAATAATAATAATACATCACATAATCCTAGACACTTGGGAAGAGTCTGACGTGGGATCCAATACAACAGCCAGCAGAGTGTCTGCTGTGGATTCACCTTGTGTTACTACTACTACTACTACTACTACTAATAATAATAATAATAATAATACATCACACAATCCTAGAAACTTGGGAAGGGTCCGACATGTGATCCAATACAACAGCCAGCAGAGTGTCTGCTGTGGACTCACCTTGTTGTGTTACATATAGTAATAATACTACTACTACTACTAATAATAATAATACAGCACACAGTCCTAAACACTTGGGAAGTGTCCGACGTGTGATCTAATTCAACAGCCAGCAGAATGTCTGCTGTGGATTCACCTTGTGTTACAAATAATAATAATAATAATAATAATAATAATAATAATAATAATAATAATAATATACTTTATTTTTAACCCCCTTATCTCCCTGAGGGGACTTCTACATCCTCCATTTCTCCCTGTTGAAGTTCATTGTGATAGTTTTGACCAATCAGCGCTTTCATCTGTGAAGGTCCTTTTGGATCCTGACTCTGCTCTCTCTGGATTTGGTGCCATCTGCAAAATGTGATCACAGGGCTGTGTTTAGCACAGTGGGTTAAACTGCCAGCTGCAGAAAATCTTGTTGATCGAAAGGTTGGCAGTTCAAGCCTGGGTTGGGGTGAGCTCCCAACATCAGCCCAGTTTCAGTGTACCTAGCACTTCAAAAAGAGGAATGTGAGTAGATAAATAGGTGCCGCTTTAAGCAGGGAGGTAATAAAAGGCGCCCAAGCAGATTCAATTGGGAGAACGTCTACAGATGACAAAGATGAAGCGATAGCACCTCCCTGTGGCCAGAGTCGAGCACAGCCTCTAGATGCCGGATATGGAAGAAGATGGAAAGCCTTTACCTTTGTTTATGTGTTGTCTGTCCTTGTTAATTGTATAACAGCACTGAATGTTTGTTGTATATATGTTCTGCAATCTGCCCTGAGTCCCCTCGGGGAGATAGAGCAGAATATAAATAAAGAATATCATCCTCATCATCCTCATCATCACCTTCATCAGTGTGCCTGCTATTCTGCCATCCAAGTCATTGATAAAGAGATTGAATAGCCCTGCAAGGCCCCTGGCTCCTCACTAGTCACCTTTCTCCAGACTGAAGATGAGGAACCCTTTGGGTTCGGCCAGTTAACCAAGTCCCAGTCTGCCTCACAGGAGCATGGTGGATATGCGACCCTCGAGGAGCAAGTGCTAGACATTGGGTGATACTACGAAATTATATGCCCCCACCCACATGAATGTCACGTGGGAGATAGGCATGTTCATGTGGGCAGAAGTGGCCCTCTCCTCCTCTGGTTGCTTTTGCGCCAACCCAGCCATCTGTATTTATTTATTTATCGTGTCAGGGGCAACCAGACCATTGTATTACATTTCTAACAGAACAAAACAAACAAACAGACAAAACACAAAGTTTGCAAGCTTGGTAGTTGATTAAATGTCCTTGGACCAGTATCTGTCCCCTTGGAGTGCCTCTGGTGTGGCCGCAAGAAGGTCCTCCCTTGTGCATCATGTGGCAGGGCTCAGGGTGCATTGCAACAGGTGGTCAGTGGTTTGCTCTTCTCCACACTCGCATGTCGTGGATTCCACTTTGTGGCCCCATTTCTTGAGGTTGGCTCTGCATCTCGTGGTGTTCAGCGCCTTCCAAGTCTCCCTGTCTTCTGTGTGTCCAGGGGGGTATCAGCCATTGGTTGAGGTTCCGGGTTTAAGCCTGCCACTTTTGGACTCTCGCTTGCTGAGGTGTTCCAGCAAGTCTCTCTGTAGATCTTAGAAAACTGTGTCTTGATTTGTCGTTGAGGTGCTGGCTGATACCCAAACAAGGGATGAGCTGGAGATATCACTGCCTTGGTCCTTTCACTATTGGCTGCTACTTCCCGGGAGAGAAGCCTCCTCGCAGGATTGCAAGACATCCGGGCGTCCCCTGGGCAACATCTTTGTAGACGGCTGATTCTCTCACTCCAGAAGCAACCAGAAGCGACTTGCAGCATGCAAACCAGAAGCCATCTGTGCCAAACTTGGAAAGTCCTTGAGTGGCACGGAACAAACTCTGGGTTCCTTCGTCTGCCAAGCTTTCCTTGCCTCCGCTGTGCCAGTGGTGGGCCATGAATCATCTCCACTCTCTGAGTGCTTGGCGATCGGGTCAAATTGGGCACCCTCCTGGTGGCTGCCAACACCTCTGGAGCCGGGCCTTTCGTTGTGCCAGCTGGATTGGACCGGGTTCAGAAAATGCTTGAGGAATGTCCCTGTAAGGAGGCACCACCATAATGGCCCATCTTAAGGCTCTAAAATAAAACATATGTGATAAAACATAGGGTCGGATAGAGATGCTTCATACAGGCTTTGTATGAAGAGGATGCCTTGGAACGATTCCTTCATCCCAGCTGTTTTGAGACCCGTGCATGGATGCTTATGCGCCTCTGTTATGCATGTTTAAATATGTATATTATAGAGATATGTTTTGGTGTGTAACTTTGATCGAGGTACAATTTAATAAGTGTATTTATGGTTTTTATTAATATTGTTGTTATTATTATGGTTTCAAGGATGCTCTGCATGAGTGTCTATGTACCTTTGGGTCACTTCAGACTTATGGTGATGCCCATGCATTTCGTAGAGCTTTCTTAGGCAAGGAAGACTCTGAACTGCCTGTGAGATGGATGCCTGGTGTTCCTTGGCTATAGAAAGATCCTTCTTTTGGGCTGTCACTCCCAGAATCCCACTGACTTTCGGAGCCCGAAAGGGCACTTTTCCCATCCCCATGCACAAAGAATTCTATCTGCAGCATTTGGGGGAACGGGACTAAGGTCGGATCTAGCTTGCAGCTCAAGCACACATAGAAGCGAGTGCTTGTTTCCCTTCCAGGGAGGAAAGGGAAGGGGAGACACTGAGAGAGGAGTGCCTCTGAGCCTAGGCTGAGTGCAGGGCTGAGCTCAAGACCACCATCCATCCATCCATCCATCCATCCATCCATCCATCCATCCATCCAAGGAAACCTGGAGGAGAAGCTCTTCCTGCAAGGAGTCTGACCGCTTGAGATCACTATCCATCCATCCATGGAAACCTGGAGAAGCTCTTCCTGAAAGGAGTCCGACTGCTTGAGACCATCACTCGTCCATCCATGGAACTAAAAACTTGGATATTCGAGCAAGTCTTCAATTAATTTTGATGTGAAGTGTTTGACTATGGACTAGCAATCAAGGACAACGAATTGGATTATGATTTTAATTATGAGATGTTCCGATCTGTATTGGTGGCCCAATACTATGTATGTTACTGTATGCATTTAATTTTTAATCTTATATGTTTTATCGAATTGTATATTTTAATATGTTGTAAACCGCAATGAGTCGCCGCACAGGCTGAGATATTGCGGTATACAAGCGTACCAAATAAATAAATAAATAAATAAATGGAAACCTGAATGAGAAGCTCTTCCTGCGAGGAGTCAGGTCTAGCGTGTGGCCCCATTGCACATGGAAGGGAGTGCTTGTTTCCCTTCCAGGGAGGAAAAGGAAGGGGAGACACAGAGAGGAGTACTTCTGAGCCTAGGCTGAGTGCAGGGCTGAGCTTGAGGCCACCATTCATCTGACCATCCATCCATGGAAGCCTGAGGGAGAAGCTCCTCCTATGATAAGTCTGACCGCTTGAGACCACTATCCATCCAACCATCCATCCATCCATAGAAACCTGGAGAAGCTCTTCCTGTGATGAGTCTAACTGCTTGAGACCACCATCCATCCATCCATAGAAACCTGGAGAAGCTCTTCCTATTAGGAGTCTGACTACTTGAGACCACCATGCATCCATCCATCTATGGAAACCTGAAGCAGAAGCTCTTCCTGCGAGGAGTCTGACTACTTGAGACCACCATGCATCCATCCATCTATGGAAACCTGAAGCAGAAGCTCTTCCTGAGAAGAATCTGACTACTTGAGACCACCATCCATCCATCCATCTATGGAAACCTGATGGAGAAGCTCTTCCTGCAAGAGGTCTGACCACTTGAGACTACCATGCATCCATCCATCCATGGAAACCTGAAGCAGAAGCTCTTCCTGCGAGGAGTTTGACCACTTGAGACCACCATCCATCCATCTATGGAAACCTGAAGCAGAAGCTCTTCCTGTGAAGAGTCTGACCACTTGAGACCACCATCCATCCATGGAAACCTGACGGAGAAGCTCTTCCTCCGAGGATTCCAACCGCTTGAGACATCCATCCATCCATCTATGGAAACTTGAAGCAGAAGCTCTTCCTGTGAGGAGTCTGACCACTTCAGACCACCATCCATCCATCTTCCTGCGAGGAGTCTGACCACTTGAGACCACCATCCATCCATCCATCTATGGAAACCTGAAGCAGAAGCTCTTCCTGTGAGGAGTCTGACCACTTGAGACCACCATCCATCCATCCATGGAAGCCTGAAGGAGAAGCTGCTCCTGCGAGGAGTCCGACTGCAGCTCCGGGGGAGAAATGAGGCTCTGCGCATGGCCTTCCCTTCCTCTCCCCCGTCCACATGCCACCTGGGGTCTCCCCCTTCCCTTGGCACACCACTGCCTTTCCTGCAGCTGCTCTGAGTGAGCGAGTGAGCGCGCCTGCCTCTCTGCCTCTCTCTGCAGGCGCTGGGCATTGGCTGCCCTTTGTCTCTCTCTCTCTCTGGCTTCAGGTAGGGAGGATGGAGGGGAGCTGAGCGGGAGTGGGGAGAGGCCTTCCTCTGCCCCTTGCAGCATCCTCTCCTCCTCGTCCGCCTCTCCCTCAACCTCCCCAGCGAGGAGTTTGGCCAGTGGGAGCCCTGCAGTGTTGGGGGTGGGGAGCTGTGGTTCGCTAGCTGGCGCATCCTTGGAAGGAGGGAGGGAGGGAAGGAGGGATGCTGTAAAGCCCTCTTCTCTTTCTCCCCCTCCCTCTCTTTTCCTCCTCCTCCTCCTCCTCCTCCTCCTCCCTTCCTTCCTTCCTCCCTTTCTTTTCTTTTCTTCCAGGGACCGCCCCCTGCTTGGCGATTGCTGGAGCTCCCCTTCTCCCTCCCCTTGCAAGCCAGCCTCTTCTCTCTCTCTTTGCCTTCCTCCCTCTTTCTTTCTTTCTTTCTCTCTCTCTCTCTCCCCCCTTTCCCCAAACAGCTGTGTTGCAGAGGTGGTGGGCCAGGGAAAGGTGTCTCTGCTTGCATTCTTGGTGGTGGGGGGAGCCCTGCGGACAATGCCCGGCCGGAGCTCTCAGAAGCATCAGCGACGTCTTTTCCTCCTCCTCCTCCTCCTCCAGCGAGGCTGCACATGAGGCAGCTGCAATGACAGCAGCCGGTCCGGCGGAGTGAGCGAGAGATCGCGAGGGGCCTGCCTGCCTGCCTGCCGCAAGATGAACGCCTCCTCCCTGGATGGCGGGGGCAGCGATGGCGGGGGCAACCACAGCCATGGCGGCGTGGGCAAGCCCTTCTGCCTCTTGGCGGCCGGCTACCCGGAGGCCCTGGACATCTGCCTGCTGGAGGCCGTCATCATCGTCTTCCTGACGGTCCTGATCATCTCGGGCAACGTGGTGGTCATCTTCGTCTTCCACTGCGCCCCGCTGCTCAACCACCACACCACCAGCTACTTCATCCAGACCATGGCCTACGCCGACCTGCTGGTGGGCGTCAGCTGCCTGGTGCCCTCCCTCTCGCTGCTGCGCTACCGCCTGGCCTTCCTGCCGGAGTCGCTGGTCTGCCAGGCCTTTGGCTACGCCGTCTCGGTGCTCAAGAGCGTCTCCATGGCCTCGCTGGCCTGCATCAGCGTGGACCGCTACCTGGCCATCACCCAGCCCCTGACCTACAACACGCTGGTCACCCCCTGCCGCCTCCGCCTCTGCATCCTGCTCATCTGGCTCTACTCGGGCGCCGTCTTTCTGCCCGCCTTCTTCGGCTGGGGCAAGCCGGGCTACCACGGGGACGTCTTCCGCTGGTGCGCCGACGCCTGGGAGACGCGGGCCGCCTTCACCCTCTTCATCGTGGTCACCCTCTACGCCCCGGCCGCCTTGGTGGTCTGCTTCACCTACTTCAGCATCTTCCGCATCTGCCAGCAGCACACCAAGGAGATCAACGAGCGGCGGGTGCGCTTCGGCGGGCAGGAGGGCGGGGAGGCGGCCGAGGCCCAGCCCTGCCCGGACAAGCGCTACGCCATGGTCCTCCTGCGCATCACCAGCGTCTTCTACATCCTGTGGCTCCCCTACATCATCTACTTCCTCCTGGAGAGCTCCTCCGTCTACCGCAGCCGTGCGGCCTCCTTCCTGACCACCTGGCTGGCCATCAGCAATAGCTTTTGCAACTGTGTCATCTACAGCCTCTCCAACAGCGTCTTCCAGAAGGGCTTGAAGCGCCTCTCGGGCGCCGTCTGCGCCTCCTGCGCCCGGCACCGCGCGGCCAGGGACTCCTCGGCCTCCCGGAGCAAGCGGCCCTCCAACGGGTGCCAGGCCTGAGCGGGGGCCGCCCCGGAGGACGCAAACAAACAACAGGCGGGTTGGGTTCCGCTCAGACCCCAAAACAGGTTTTTAAAAACATACATGTCCAGGTTTGCAAAAAAAAATATCAAACATGTTTCAGACATGAAACCTTGCGTGAGGAATGCTGCTGATTGAGAAGAATCCAGGATCTCCATAAGCATGTGAAGTCTGTTTGGTGTTTCACTTGGGGGTGGGGAAGGGCTTGGGGCAATGAGTGTCCCACCACCAGAGCGGTCTTCTTCCCCTTGCATCCCAGTTGGAGCAACTGGAAAGCAGTGGCTGTCGGAAGAGGGGCGCTGGATGAAGAGGGTGTGCGTGGGAGGGGTGGGAGACCCTCGTATTCTTCCTCGCTGCCTCCCTCCTCTTCTCTGTGCGTCAGTGTGGGAATGTGTCTGTGGTCTATAACGGTGTTTTGTTTGTTTGTCTGTGCATATGCCAAAGTATATTTCCAAAACTCAAGGGGCCAAACGGTATTGTCTTTCTCTCCTTCCTCTCCCACCCCCTTACACTTTCCCCCCTCTCTCCCAGCCCCTTATAGACATATTGCAAAAAATGTAAACATTGGATTTCAGTGTGCAATGAGGCAGCCGTGCTGCCCCGTCCGTCCGTCCCCTCGTCCTCCAACCCTCCTTGTGCTTTCCTCGCCCTCGGTTCCCTGCCTCACCACTTCGGCACTCCTTCCCACCCAGTTAGGATGTCCATTTGTGATTTAGAGCCCAGTATTTGAAAATGAAACCCAATTGTCTGTAGTGACGGGATGACTTTTGGAGGAGGACAGGTTTCGCAGTTGAATAAAGTGTTTTCCTTTTCTTAAAAAAAAAAAAATGAGCAGAGAAACTGTTTGTTTTTTGGTCCTTGCTTTGGTTTGGTGGATCTGCAATGGTTGTTTTAGAAAAGGACGCAGAGGTCGCATGTTTTTCGGGGGAAACTTTGCAACGTTTTCCTCGTCTCACAACAATCCAAAACCTGGGTGATTCTCTCTCGCATGTGTGTCGGTGGGGAGGGAGAGAAATCCTATACAAGTATGGGAATTTAGGATGCGTTTTCTAAAATACAGTATGTTGGATTTGCAATGGTGAGATGGCACACGCAGAAGGAACAGCAAGGGTTCAGAAACAGCAAGAAACAGCTGGTTCATTTTTGGGAAACCAGCAATGCAAAGGACAAAGAAGAGCATCGATCTGTCACTGGCTACATGTGATGCGTGGATGTGTCTCAGGAAGGTCGCCGCTCCCCTTCCATCCAGCCACCGGGACCAAAACGAGGCCTTCTGTTTTGGTCCGACAGCTCCTCCTGTCCTTCGGAGTGGATTTTTGGGCGACTCTTGAAGGTGGGTTGTACCCACGCTTTGAGAAAGCAGCATGGTCCCAGCGCTGACTCATGTGCTGCTGCTGCTGCTGCTGCTGCCTGGGGGCGTTGCGTGCGCCGGGAAGAAAACCTCTCCCCACTGCCTCTGTTCGGCTCCCGATGATGCCGCCTTGTCAGGAGGAAGCCTTTGTGAAGGAGGAAATGGATTGTGGGGCCCGTGATGCACCAAGGGGAGGCTATTTGGGTGGGTGGGCGCTTGCATCGCCTTCATGTAGGGTAGAGCCCAGGGGAAGAAATGGCCAACGTGGCTTGGGGATTCTGGGAGTTGAGGTCCAAATCCTAAAGCGTGGGAGCATCCTTGTAATAAGAGCATCGTTGGGTACCAAACACCATGGCTCCTTTCAACACTATTTGACAAGTAGCTTAAATTCCTGTGCAAGAAACCTCTGATACATCATCAGGGTTTGTAAGTAGGGAATTCTAATTGCTTCTCACCAAACTACAAATCCCAGGATATCATACTATGCTGTAATTGTGCTTTGTCTCAAGATAAAACAAGAATGGGCATGAGTTAGAAGACACCCATGAGGCCAAATGGGTATGTTTGTTTGAGTTGGGTTTTGGTGGCTGTTTAGCAGGCACGAGCAAAATTGGGCGCTCCGGGTGTTTTGGACTTTCACCATTCCTAACAGCCTCAGACCCCTTCGCTTAACCGGCTGGGTCCTGAGGCTTTTAGGAATGGTGGGAGCTGAAGTCCAAAACACCTGGAGGGAGGGACCAAGTTGGCCCATGTCTCTGTCCTCTTGGAATTGGACACTTCAGTCCATCAAGGGATCATCTGCATACCCATGTTGTGGGTGTTGGAGTCCAAAACATCTGGAGGGAGTGCTCAAGTTGGCCCATGCCTTTGTCCTCCCAAAACTGGACACTTCAGTCCATCAAGGGATCATCTGCTTACCCACGTTGTGGGATTGGAAGTCCAAAACACCTGGAGGGAGGGTCAGAGTTGGCCCATGCTTTGTCCTCTTGGAAGTGGACACCTCAGTCCATCAAGGGATCATCTGCATACCTATGTTGGGGAAGGTGGAGTCCAAAATGCCTGGAGGGAGGGACCAAGTTGGCCCGTGCCTCTGTCCTCTTGGAACCGGACACTTCAGTGAATCAAGGGATCATCCGCATACCCACGTTATGGGAGCGGAAGTCCAATACATCTAGAGGGAGTGCTCAAGTTAGCCCATGCCTTTGTCTTCTCAAAACTGGACACTTCAGTCCAGCAAGGGATCATCTGCTTACCCACGTTGTGGGATCGGAAGTCCAAAACACCTGGAGGGAGGGTCAGAGTTGGCCCATGCTTTTGTCCTCTTGGAACTGGACACTTCAGTCCATCAAGGCATCATCTGCATATCTATGTTGGGGAAGGTGGTCCAAAACGCCTGGAGGGAGAGCCCAAGTTGGCCCTCTTGGAACTTGAAACTTCAATCCATCAAGGGATCATGTGTATACCCACTTTGCTGGAGTTGGAATCCAAAACACTCGGAGGGCCAAAGTTTGCCCATGCCTGCTGTATAGGACCTTCATATCCCAGGGCAGCCTCTCAATCCGCATTCCCAGAGGGAATATTGCTCCCATCTCCTGATTTGTAGACTTCTTAGGAGGCCCTGGGTTGTCATTACACAGAAGCGGGACAATGAGCTATGTTGGTGTCTTGTTTTCCATTGTTCTCACCATTTGGGTAGCCAAACAGGCACACGGCCCATCTGCCACTTGCCTTCCCTTCTTCCTGTTATCCATAGCTTTCTGAGATCTTGCCAGGATGGAGATTTGAGGTGTTCAGGGATCTCTTCATTTCATTCATAGAATCCTAGAATCAAAGAGTTGGAAGAGACGTCATGGGCCATCCAGTCCAACCCCATTCTGCCAAGAAGCAGGAATATTGCATTCAAAGCACCCCTGACAGATGGCCATCCAGCCTCTGTTTAAAAACTTCCAAAGAAGGAGCCTCCATCACACTCCGGGGCAGAGAGTTCCACTGCTGAACAGCTCTCACAGTCAGGAAGTTCTTCCTAATGTTCAGGTGTAATTTCCTCTCTTGGAGTTTGAAGCCATTGTTCCATTGCGTCCTAGTCTCCAAGGAAGCAGAAAACAAGCTTGCTCCCTCCCTCCTCCCTGTGACTTCCTCTCACATATTTATACATGGGCCTCATCATGTCTCCTCTCAGCCTTCTCTTCTTCAGGCTAAACATGCCCAGCTCCTTAAGCCGCTCCTCATAGGGCTTGTTCTCCAGACCCTTGATCATTTGAGTCGCCCTCCTCTGGACACATTCCAGCTTAGAGTCAATATCTCTCTTGAATGGTGGTGCCCAGAATTGGACACACTATTCCAGGTGTGGTCTAACCAAAGCAGAATAGACTTACTGTTGACCTATTGTCCCATGCTGGACAGAACCAACAGAAACTGACCAGTATTTCAATGGAAAGGTGGGCTTGCTTTTGGCTGATGAGAGTCAAGTTAATTTGGATTGTTTTTGTTGTTATCGTTGTGGGTCTTCAAGTCCCAAAATTATTTTATTCCTGCCTATTTCCCTGTGTATTCTTTTGATGTAAGCCATGTGCGCTCTGGGTCCTTGCCTTCCTTGTTTCCAATGTGTTTGAAAGGAGGACACGCTTCCCTCTCACAGACACACACAACTTTTGTTTACTTGTTGAGGGAGGCTTTCTCCTTCGTGGTCTCTGTGAAATCGCACATATGAGTCTCGTGAGCAGGTGGAAGACCCATATGTGCAAATTTCACAGAAACACGGTTCCAGGAAAGCAACCATTCCCTCTCTGTGAAAGCTGAGGTCTCGATCCTTTATTATTTCCCCATGCCGTACATGAGTTAAGGGGGGGGGGGGGAGCCCTGTTTTCTCTGGGGAATCCTACGTCTGCACCAGGAATAAGCAAATCCTGCAGCATATAGAGCTCATACATTTTTCAGGTTTGAACAAACGTGCGTGCATGTATATTTTGTGTGTGTGCACAAAGTCTTCTGCATTATTTAGAGCTTTGGTCATGGGAGGTGAAGATGGAAGGAGAGTCGTGCAAGGCCATGTCTTAGTTTGAAGCAGGACAGAAGAAGGAATCATCTGTCTCTGGGACTCTTCTGGGATCTGCATAGGCAGACTCAAAGGCCCAGCTGGATCGAACAGAAAAAGGAGGAAATAGCTTGCGGGGCTTGCACATCACTCCCTCCAGATGTTCGGGGACCCGGCGATACCCGGGTTATTAGAAGAAGGTTTTGTTTGTTTTGAGACATTAGGTAATCTCACTTACGTTTGGTCCAGATCTGTCATTCGCTGGGTTCAATGCTCTTTGGATAAGGGAGAACTACAACTCCCAGATTCCCAGGGTGATCACCCCCAAACCCTGCCAGTATTCACAGTTGGCCATGATGGGTCTCTACAACTCCTAGAAATCATGGTGAATTTGCCCCAAACCTCTCCATTATGTTCAGTTGCTGATCAATTCTTCTCTTTGCTGTGTGCCATAGAAAAGAATAGGAAAGTGTCAAGGGAGAGGCAGTGGGCAAGGTCATGCAAATTCCACACCAAGCTACAGGCATTGGTGGGGCCAGGGTGCATTCATTATACAGAGTGATGGATGCGCTGTAAATCTCCCTCCTCAGAACTGGACACTTTAGCCGATCAAGGGATCATCTGCACACCTGGAGGGAGGGCCCAAGTTGGCCCATGGCTTTGTCCTCTTGGAACCAGGCACTTCAGCCAATCAAGGGATCATCTGCATACCCATGTTATGGGAATAGGAGTCCAAAACACTTGGAGGGAGGGCCCAAGTTGGCCTATGCCTTTGTCCTCTTGGAACTGGACACTCCAGTCAGTCAAGGGATCATCTGCATACCCACGTTGTGGGAGTTGGAGTCCAAAACACTTGGAGGGAAGGCCCAAGTTGGCCCATGCCTTTGTCCTCTTGGAACTGGACACTTCAGTCCATCAAGGAATCATCCACATACCCATGTTGTGGGAGTTGGAGTCCAAAACACCTGGAGGGAGTGCCCAGGGCACTATGGTCAATCAAGGTATCATCTGCATACCCAGGTTGTGGGAGTTGGAGTCCGAAACACCTGGGAGGAGGGCCCAAGTTGGCCCATGCCTCTGTCCTCTTGGAACTGGGCACTTCAGTCCATCAAGGGGTCATCTGCATACCCAGGTTGTGGGAGTTGGAGTCCGAAACACCTGGAGGGAGGGCCAAGTTGGCCCATGCCTTTGTGATCATGGAACCGGACACCCCAGTCCATCAAGGGGTCATCTGCATACCCACGTTGTGGGAGTTGGAGTCCAAAACACCTGGAGGGAGGGCCCAAGTTGGCCCATGCTTCTGTCCTCTTGGAACTGGACACTCCAGTCCATCAAGGGGTCATCTGCATGCCCAGGTTGTGGGAGTTGGAGTCCGAAACACCTGGGGGGAGGGCCCAGTTGGTCCATGCCTCTGTCTTCTTGGAACTGGGCACTTCAGTCTAT